AGGCACCGGAGGAAGCCTGGGTCCGAGGATCCCAAATGAAGCCAGGATTGCTCGGGCACCGAGTGCAGGCAAGGTGGCCCATCTAACAGGGAGACGGGGGTGGGGAGAGGTGACACCGCCGAGCAAAGGAGCTCGGGGCCTGGCTGTGGGACAGGGCGGGAGGAGGGTTGACTCCACCTTGCCTTCTCCCCACTCAGTTGCCGGGATGGGTCCAGGAGCAAGAAGCAGTTTGTTCTGCTTCCTCCTTGCACCTCCAGTACCCACCAACCTCCAGCCTGGGTATCACCAGGCGGGTTGAGCACAGGCTCTGGAGCCTGGCTGCCGGGGATCCCTGCCACTCCCACCCCCCAGCCGCATGACCTTGGGCTAGTCCCTGAGCCCTCAGTCTTCTCTTCTGTAAAACGGGGATATAGTGTTTCATGGGATTGTTGTGAGGAGAGTTGTTAGTGTTTGCAGACAAAGCCCAGCACATAAGCAAGCGCTGGACAGAACACTAGCTTTGATCACCCCTCCGACCCTGCCCCTCACTGCCTTGCCACCAGCCAGTAGCCTGGCCTAACCCTTCCCTCTGCCTCACACTCGCCACCTTTGGCCCGGAGGATGGCACAGCATCCAGCTCCATCCCACAGCTTGGTCCAAGGCCAGGGAGATGAGGGATCCTGACATTCACTCCCCTGAGTCTCACAAGCCCCAGCACGACTGCCCCCCCCAATGTCCAAAGCTTCCTCCCCTGTTTTCTCACCACCTCACCCCAGCCCTGCGCCCTCACCCACCGCAACTTCTCCCAGTCACCAAACACCTTTGCCCCTGCTGTTCCCCTGCTTAGAAGTCCCCTTTCCCCAAACTTCTCTTTAGGCCCAAGACTCAACTCACATCTCCTTCCTCTATGCGGCCTCTCTCTGCCCCACCTTCCACCTCATGGGGTAGCTGTTTCCTCCCCTGACTCCCAGCACACACACCTCTCCTCTGAGCGTTTGTCACCCTGGGCTGTGACATATGTCTAGTCACTCATCCGTCTCCCTTCCTAGACCATGAGGTCCTTGGACACTGTGTACCAGTGCTCTCGGTCCTTGGGGCCCAGCACGGTGCTTCACACGAAGGAGATAGGTACTCAATATGTGTTTGTTGAATGAAAGAATCATTCAATGAACACATTTATTTACTGAAGATTTACTATGAGATACGGTAACAAGAATGAAAAGGGATGAGCTGGCCCAAGGCCAGTCTGGAAGGAGGGCCCTGGCTTTTGACCCTCAGCGCAGCCTGGGCCTCAGAGAGGAGGTAGACACCCAGCAAAGTAAGGGTCTGGGGAAGGGGAGGTGCAGGGTGGGTACCTTGGATGCCCATCTCCTTGCGACACCACTGGATGAAGTTGGAGACGTTGTCCCGGGCCTGGAAGGTGCCTGGCTGGGCAGCCCCATTGCAGGAAACCCCGGCCTGAGGCATGGGAATCCCCCGGGCTCGGGCAGGTGCCTCGGCCAGGAAGGCCAGGGCAGCCTGGGTGATGGCGTTGGCATGCTGGCACAGCACCAGGCCGGTCTCCAGCACGTGCAGGAAGTTGGCTGCATTGATGTCCAGCCCATAGAGATCCCGAAGCCACTCGGCCAGATCCTCCTTCATGGCTTCCAGGTACTGCTCGCTGGACTTAAAGGGCCGGATGCTGCGCACTGGAGGCTCCAGGGTTCCAGGCCTCCTCCTGCGTCCCCCAGGCTGGGACATGGCTTGATCCTCAGCAGAGGAGGAAGCGGGCACTTCTTCTCTCCTGCTGCTTGTCTACACTCCTGCCACCTGCTGTGTCTTGGCTGGTTCCCCCTGACTCCCGGTTCCCTTCCTACTCTCTGAGAACCTTGGATTTCAGGTTCTGCTACTTGCCACTGGTTTCAGCTGCCTCCACCAGGTCCTGTGCCACCTTCCCCACCCCCCCATTCCTCAGTCCCTGCCAGAACTTCACCTACTTGGTGGCCCTGCAGCAACCTCACTCTCTGGCTGCCCAGTCAACTCAGAGTTTGCCACCTGCCAGGACGGATGGAAGCGAGGACACTCCTCTCTCCCCCCAGGGCTGGACAGGTCCGGCTACTGGCTGCCTCCCACCCCCCACCGCCAGCAGCCGGTGGTGGAGCCTGGGGTGGCTGTGGGCCTCTCCACTCTGCTTTCCTCCCCTCTCCTCTCCTTGGAGACAGCGGCTGCTACAAACACTCCTTGTTAACCCTTCCTGGCAGGCAAGGACTGCCCTGCAGAGCCGGCCCTGGAGCCAGAGCAGGGAGGAGAGGTGGGGTTGAGCATGGTGGGGGCTTCTGGGGAATGAGGGGCAGGGAACCAGGGCTAGGGGGTGCTGTGGCCCTTGGTGTGTAGTGAACACTGTAGCATGGGGACGAGTAGACACAGTGATAGAGTCTAAAGACATGAGTCTAGCCCTGGACCCTTTGCTAAATCCCTCTGTGACCTTCATATGCTGCCCAGCCTCGCTGTGCCTTAGTTTTCTCAACTGTAAAATGGGAACAATAATATTTACCTCTCTGGGGTGTTGTGAGTGTGAGGAATAAAGGTATAATGAATGCAGAAAGTATCAGACCGTAAGTACCCACACATTCAGGACCGGGTGGGTCCCAGTTCTCAGTGATTTGCCCAGCACCCTGTCTATGCACCACAATCCCCACTTTCTTTGGAGAACCTGCTCTCAATCATGGGACCTCACCCCAGGGCCATAGCAAAGCATCCATTCAAATATGTATCGAGTACCTACTGTGTGCCAGGCGCTCTTCTAGGCCTAAATATAGAGCAATAAATGAGGCCCCTGGCCTCATGGAGGCTGCTTGCATGTTAGTGGGTGCTGGTTGACAAACAAATCCATCTAGAGTAAGTCAGATGGTGAGAAATACCAGGGAGAAAACTGAAGGACTAAAGAGATGGGGGCGTGTGTCGAATTTTATATAAGGTGGTCAGGAAAGGCCTCACTGATGTGATGATACTGAAAGGAGACCTGAGAGAAGTAAGGGAGCAGGGCCTGCAGGTATCTGGGGTAAGCGTCCTCGGGCAGAGGGAACAGCCAGTGCAAAAGCTCGGGCAGGAGCCTGCTTCATGTTCCAGGAATAGCAGAGGGGGCGGGACATGAGGCAGAGAGGAAATGGGGTCTCAGATCATGCAGGGCTTTTCTTGACCTTTTAGAAGGGAAATTTCTTTCAATTACCTTCTAAAGGCATCCAGGCATGATGGTTATACCCATTTTATGGACCAGGAAAAAGAAAACTGGAGCAGCAAGAGGGCTTAGTTCCTCACTTACATGATCCTCTCAATGGGGTTGAGTGTCCCCATGACAGGCAGCTGGGTTTCCCTGAGCTAAGGAATGAGCTGGAAGCAGAGGGAAGGACAGAAAGGGGAGGAGAGAAAATAGTGATACAAATAAACAATGCTTTCAGTTTCTGTGGGCTGGGTAAAGTGGTACTGTACCACAATATCTGATTTACAAATGAAGAGACTGAGGGTCAGAGAGAGAACATGCTGGAGGGCAGACACCTTATTTTATTATTATTATTATTTTTTAATCCTAACCCGAGGATACTTTTTCCATTGCTCTTCAGAGAGAGTGGAAGGGAGAGACAGAGAAACGTGGATGTGAGAGAGACACATCGATTGATTGCCTCCTGCACGCGCCCCCACCAGGGCCTGGGATCGTGCCTACAACCGAGGTGCGCGTGCCCTTGGCCGGAATCAAACCTGGACGCTTCAGTCCGCAGTCTGATGCTCTAACCACTGAGCCAGACCAGCCAGGGCCAGACACCTTTTATACTTATGTGCTAGAGCTGGGATTTGAACCCTGGCTATTGGGGGCCACAGCCACCCTCTACTCTCTCTTAATGCCTTTTCATGAGGGAAGGTAGGGGACATCTGGGTTTTGAGTGCTTTTGGAGGCTCTGGAAAAGGCCCGAGCGGAACCCTATGGGCAGGTGAGGTTCCAGCCCCGCCCTGGGTGATCCAGCAGACGCCCTAGTGACCAGGTCAAGTTCTGTGGGTTCTGCTACCCCCTCTTATCCCAGGCTCTGATTAGGAGACGAGGGCGACACAGCCTTGGGAAGGATGGATAAGAACGGTGAGTGGGCTGGAGGCAGGGTAGGACCAGAGGACAGGAGGGGCTTGACTACAGGGTGGACCAACCAGCTCATCACCATGGTAACCCCGGAGAAGTCCAGCCTTTTGAAGATTATACCCATCCAAGTACAAACCTTCTCCCTTCTCTTTCGTGAATATTCTTTTTTTTTAAAATCCTCATTTGAGGACATTCTTTCCATTACTTTTCAGAGAGAGTGGAAGGGAGAGAGAGAGAGATAGAGAAACATTGATGTGAAAGAGACAAATTGATTGGTTGCCTCCCACACTCACCCTGACCGGGGCCTGCAACCGAGGTACATGCCCCTGGCTGGAATCGAACACAGAACCCTCATGGGCTGAGGTGCTAACCACTGAGCCCAACCCTCCAGGGCTCTTTCTTGAATATTCTTGATATCTGCTCCCCTGCTGTTCGGACTTTTGTCTTTTCTGGCCCGAACTACTGTAATGGCTCCTAAGTGGGTCTCCCTCCATCAGAGGGAACATCCTAAAACACAGGTCTGAGCATGTATGTCCCTGCATCAGAACGTTCAATGGCCCCCCCACTGCTGAAGGGCCATGGCCTTTGGTGTTTAGTGAGCACTGTGGGAGAGATGAGACAGACACAGTGATGGAGTTCAAACAGGAGTTTAGCTCTGGACCCTTTGTTAACCCCCTCTGTGAACTTCAGATTCTACCCAAGTCCAAACTCCATAGCACGGCACCCAAAGTCCCAACCTTCCTTTCCAGTTCCCCCACCTCCTGAGAAGTTCCCAGCACCCCTTTCTGGCTGTGCACTGGGTCTGGCCTTTCACAACCAGAAGACTCCTTAATGTATTTTCCTAAACAAAAGTACAGTGGGCCCTGGTTCTCCAACATCAAGCGCTGGCAGAATCTTTGAAGCAGTTTTTCTTAAAAGGTTTCCAAAAGTCGTGGATGAAATTCAGGGGCCCCTCTGTGACCTCATCGCTTACCTGAGGGGCTGTGAAGATGAAGAGATGTGACATACAGAGAGTTTAGGACGGTGATTGCATGTAGTAGGTGCTTAATACATGTGGGCTCCGATGTTAATTTTATTATCATTCCCCTTTGTTTCCAACCTCCTTAGGTTGGGCAGGGTTCAATGGTTGTGTCTTTTCTGCCTTCCTCCCCCTTCTTTTCATTACAATGCCCACTCCCCAGATCCAGCAGCCAGCAGGGCACACGGTGCAGTTGGGCCAGTGTTTGCTGCTGAGGGTGGACACCTCCTGTCCGGCAGGTTACTTCCCACCTTAGCCCAGGAACTTCCTGCCTGCAGGGGCTACTGCTTGGAGCCCTGGAGTTTGTGCCCTGAGCAAAGACCTCAGCAAGAGGGGTCAGTGGTGACTGAAATCTGGCTGGCAATTGGGGTCAAGCCTGGAAGGAGGGACACGTATTTCCAATTGGTGTGCCCATAGGGGACACTTTTTCTGATTGTTCTGCCCACCTTTTTCTAACGATATCGACGTGCTTTGTGCCCACGTTCCCACCCAACCCGCCACAGGTGATGCCGGACTTCCTTAAAGGCAAGGCCCCACTTTGAAGAAGGAAGTCCCATCTAGAAAACAGAATATAAACAACCCCGTGTTAGAATTCCAACCAGTGCACTTAATGTTTACTGACAGCCTGCACGGAGACCAGTCCCCACCCTAGAGACACTTAGAAAGAAGGTGATGAACCATCATTTGTTCCAGGTTTGCCACTCTCATTGCAACCTCCTGTTGATTGTTTCTCGCTGGCCAAGCCCTTAGGCGACCCCCCACCTGCCTCACAACAGCCCTGGAGATAGGCACGATTTCCCCCATTTCACAGATGAGGAAAAGAGGCTGGACAGAAGCAACGTGACTTGTCTCAATCCTGGAAGTGCAGAAACCTGGGGAATCAGGGTGAGGGGGTGCAGCCAGGCAGGCCCCTGGCCGGGGAAATCCTTGGCGCTGTAACTTTCTCTTGGAGTCTCGCTGGCTCTTCGCACCGTCCATCAGGCTGACTTTTTTT